GGTATGAGGTCCCCCTGTCTCACTGCTCACCTCTGTCTTTTATATCTCAAGAGATTGCCTCAGGACACAATCCAGTCTTGTAGATCAGGTCCTGCATTACTAACACAACTGCCACCCATCCTCCCTCATTAACATCATGGAGGCAGGTTTCCAACATACAGAAAAATCGCACAGTACCAGGAATCATGGCCTAGCCAAATTGATACACACATTTTTGGGGCGACATAATTCAATCCACGACGGAAAGTATATTGGTAGTTAGCAGAGGGTAAATGGTGGAATAATGGGGCATTATTGCTAAATGGGTACAGAGTTTCTGTTTAGGGTAATGAAAAAGTTTTGGAAACAAATAATGGAGAAGGTTGTACAACTTCGTGTGATCAATCCTACTGGATTGTACACTTCAAAATGGTTAAAATGGCAAATTTTATGTTGTGTATATTTTCCCACAATTTAAAAAAATTAAAAAAAAAAAAAAAAGAAAAACCAAGCAACATCCTTTCTTACCCTTCCCTTCCCCCACCAGTCTGGCTTGGAAGCTAAAATATGTCTTAAATGAATATTAGAAAACTAACACAGGTCTCAGTCCATGAACGCTCAGAGGAGCAAGCTCACTTCTTTCTCATTGTAGACTTTGATGATAGCATGTTCGTTAAGACTTCGACCCCCGAGGAATGGATCACACAAGGAGATTACTACGCCAAGCACCAGTGCTGGAAGGTAAGGGGCTGGACCAGGAGCCAGCGGCCTCCTCGGACCTTAGGGCTGGTGTCCCATGATCGCATTTATCACCAGAAGAGGGCAAGAGTGACAGTGCTCGTATCAAAACACTTCTTCGGAAACATCAGGTCGTCCGTCGATGATGACCGCTCCCTGTCTCGTCCTCTCCCCACCACAGTCATGACAACCCTTTTGTTTTGGCCAAGTGCCAGCATGTGCCAATAAGTAAATGAAAGAGACCATGGTGTTGCCCCAGTAAGGAACCCTTCTATTTGTTTCCTTTCCCTCCTGTACCCTATGCTTAGAAAGCTTTTGCTATTCTCATACTGCATTTTAAAACTGTAACAGATTGGTCCTCTCTTTTATTTTTTTTGAATCGATTAGACGTAAGCTTAACTGCCCATTTTAGCCTGATGAGCATAGGTAAGCTTTAGCATGAGGTCGAGCTAACCGTTTTCCAGCCATGACCATTTTACTGAGCTTGAGCAGCCTTCTTCCAGGAAAGGTCATCTCTGCTAGTCCTCTTGAAACATTGGAACCAGCTTGAAGAGCCCCATCACTTCCCCCACAGTCAGCATCCCTACATGTCACAGGGTCTGAGGTGGGGAACCCTGACATATGTGTCTCCCATGACATAGTGGTAACGATGTCTTCACCTGCAAGTTACAAGCACTCTACTAAATGGGTGTTTTTAAATCCAATAACAAGAAGTCTGATCTTAGGATTGTCTCTGCAGTTCAACAAAATCAACAAGGACCCAATCTTATTCCATCTCTTCCTTATGTCATCTCAGTTCTCCCTCATGGTCGCATAATGGCTACAGTAGCTCCAAGCATCAGATTCACCCTCAGCAGCACCCCACGCAGGAATGAAGGGCAGGCACTCTCTTTGCATGGGGCTCTTTTTTATTATGAAGTCCCCGCTGGCCTTCCCCTTATGTCTCATTGACTAGTACTAGGCCACTCCTAGCTGCAAGGGAGTCTGGGAGAGTAATCCCATCGGGAAATTTCAGCCCTTCATGGGAGGTAGATTCTGCCGTCAGACAAGAAAGGGAGGCAAGAGTGCTATGGGGAAAATAACCAACAGAGTCTGGCTTGGCACGACCACATGCACATTTCCCTAAGCTCTAACTGTCCCAGGCACCTGGCGCGCCCCATGCTGGCTGCTGCAGGAGATGCTTCCTGAGACAACAGCTGGGGTTGGGCTTCGGACAGATCACTTTCTTCCCTTTCCATGCCTCAGTGTTCACGTTAGAGAGGTTCCAGCCCCTCAAAATTTACAGAACAAGCATCTGCAGTTTCTCTTGTCACTTCTGAACAAACGTGCAGACAGTGATTTCTCTGGAGAGCTTGTCCTGCTGCTTTCACAGTCCTTCCCACTGTGCACAGAGTTGGACCCGAGCAAAGGTCCTAGGAAGCAACGAATGCCATGAAATCCCATGTCAGAACTTAGTGGAAGCCACAGTCGAGATGTCTTCTTCCTGATGTGCCGGGGAGAAGGCGTTCTAGAGTTTTCTCTATCACAGTTTTTAGGAGAGCTTTGCCTGCCATGACAGGGAATATGGTTTTAAGTCTACAGCAAGTAGCTCACATCTGGGGCTTATCAGTTATTATTAGCTGCACGACACCTCCAAACTTAGTGACACCAGTCATTTATGTAGCTTACAGTTCTGTGGGTTGGCAAAGCTGAGTTAGCTGAGTAGTTCTTCTGATCTCAGCTGGGCAACCCATGCATCTCCAGTCAGCTACCAGTCAGCTAGGCGGCTCTGTTTCTGGAGTTTGGCTGGCTGTTGGCTCAGGTGATGGAGGCGACTGGGATCCCTGGGCCCCTCATCCTCCAGAAGGCTAGCTCGGGGCTTGTTCATATGCTGTCGGGGCAGGGTTCAAAGAGCATGAGCAGGAGCACGCAAGACCTCTTGAGGCCTAGGCTTGGAGCAGGCACAGTGTTGTTTCTGCTGCATTCTGTTGGCCAAAGCAAGTCCCAGCCCAGATTGAAAGGGAGGGAAAGACCTATCACACTTGAAGGAGAAGCTGCAAAGTTACGCTGTAAAGGGGTGTGGATAGAGGGCAGAGTGAAGGACTGTGGCCACCCCTGCAGTCTGTCATAGGGGTGAGAAAACATTATTTGCACTGTTATATGTTTGGGTGTGTATAGAAAGTATTTCTGTCAATATGTAGCATTTAGCTGCAGAAGTTGACTGAGCCCCCCAAATTTATTCCCTGGCCATCCTTGTTATAATTGGAAAGGAATATTGAACACTTGGCTATTGTTATAAATCCAAGACTTATTTTATTTTTTTATTGTTGTGCTTTAAGGGAAAGTTCACAATTCAAGTTAGTCTCTCATACAAAAATTTATACATACACTGTTACGTGACCCTACTTGCTCTCCCTATACTGTGACAGCACACTCCTCCTTTCCACCCTGGATTTCCTGTGTCCATTCAACCAGCTCCTGACCCTCTCTGCCTTCCCATCTCATCTCTGGACAGGAGCTGCCCGTTTAGTCTCATGTATCTACTTGAGCTAAGAAGCACATTCTTCACAAGTATCATTTTATGTCCCATAGTCCAGTAAAACCAAGAAATTTTTGTGAGGGGGAGTGGGAAGGAAAGGGTGGAATAGGATGGGCAGCAGGTACACATATAAAATTGGAGAGCTATGTAATCATACCCGTTATTCTCTGTGGATCACTGTTGGGGTTACCCATATGTGTTGCCTATGGATTTCCCATTCTTTATCTCTTTTTAAAGATCTTTTGAATGTTTGAATCTAAAACCTTTTTAAGGGAGCCAGCACAGATGAGAATGTTATCAAAAGCCTTCTCTTTGCCTGATTTTATTTTGACCCTGCTAAAGGACTTCAGGAGCCCTGTGGCGCTGTGGTTAAGAGCTCGGCTGCTAACCAAAGGTCAGCAGTTCAAATCCACCAACTGCTCCTATAGGGTTACTATGAGTTGGAATCGACTCGATGGCATCAGGTGTAAAAGACTTCAGGACTGAGGTGGTTTATTGAGTTTTTGACTGCATGTCAATGAATATTTCAGAACCACCATCCAAGTGGAAACCCTTTGAGATTCATTGATTCAGCAAATATCTGTTAAGCTTTGAGCTAAGCATTGTTTAGGTCTCAGGGATATGATGTGAGCAGAACAGGCACACGGACAACGACACAGTTCCAGCTGTTGCAGGTGTCAGAGATAAAAAACCAGGTGGCACCAAAATGACTCCGTCCTGAACGGGGAAGCCAGAGAAGGCTTCTGTGAGGATGGGAAGCTTGAGCTGAGACCTGTAGGATGGATGAGGTTAACCAGGCAGAGAAGGGACAGAAGAGCATTTCAGTCAGAAGCAAGAGTGTGTGCAAAGGCCCTGTGGGGTGGGAAGGAGCATGGGGCTGGGGAGACTGGAGCAGAGGGTGTGAAGGAGGGAAATGCTTTTCTGTCCACTTTATCATTAAGTGCTGCTTAGTCCCTCCCTTGCACATGCTGAGACCTAATCTCTCATGCTGGGCAGGTTATGAACTTTCTTCCCCTATAGGCTGCACTTTGAGACGCAGGTCAGCATTCCTGTCTTAGAAAACCAGCTTTCTCCTGACAGGAATCAGGTGCAGGCTGACTCTCCTGTGACACGTTTGTCTACTTTGTGTTCAGAGGGTTTGGTTATCACAGATCTGAATGTCCCAAAGACCTGGTCAGTCATTTTATCGGTTGTGTTGTGACACCGTCTCTACCCCATGTAGTCCACGTACTCCAGCTGTTCCACCAACACTGCCAGGTAGCCATTGGAGTTACCAACTGGACAAAACCCATGTTGAAGCCCAGAAAATCCACTGGGTGGCTTTGGGCCAATCACTTCACATCTCTGACCTGAGCTTGCTACTATAAACAGTGAGAAGGATAATACTTCTCGCACGTGGCTGGTGGAAGATTAACTGGGGGTCTGGGGACGGTGGCCTATAAAAAATCGCTGTTATGTAGCTTTTGCTTGACTTCTGGGTACTTCCAAAAGGCACCTTGGAGTGTGAAGTGTTAGTTGGTTATTCGTCTTGGGCTTTGTCCTCGAGGCTACTTTCATTAGCATACCTCCCTCTCAGGTGGGGCTGGGGTGTGACTGATGCTGTGTCAGTGGAAACATGTGACACGTGCTGTAACTCTTGTCCTCTGTCACCTCTGTCACCTTGCCCTCTGCCTATTCCAGGTCGCCGCCAAGTGTTACCAAAAAGGAGGCGCAGGTGAGAAGGAGAAGTTGGTGCTAGCCCACAGCACCGCCCTGAACATGAAATCCAAGAAAGTCAGCCTCAAGTAAGAGTCTTGGGGACTGTTTCTGTATTGCTTCCATGAGAGCCTCAGGGTAGCAGGTTGGTGTTGGATCAACATTCCATGGAGATCCTGTTTTGTTTCCTGCCCCTCAGGGAAAAACAGTTGGAGTATCTGAAACTGGCTAAGACCTATCTGGAGTGCAGAGAACCAAAACTGTCTCTCAAGTGTCTGAGCTACAGCAAGGAGTTTCAGCTCTGCGCCCAGCTGTGCGAGAAGCTGGGAAAGGTACGGCCCTCAACCCACAGCTGCTCCTGGGAAGGCTGGGCTTTAGTGGAGCAGATTGAGGGGTGGATCCCCAACCTCCTCACACAGTGGGAGTGGGCTCCAGTACTCCAAGGAGAGAGAGGCTGGCCCTGTTGACTCTAAGGATACCCTTCTTTCTTCATTGGCTCAGGTTTTTAGAAGGCTCCAAAGGCAGTGTGTGTGTGTGTGTGTGTGTGTGTGTGTGTGTGTGTGTGTGTGTGTATGTCCACGTCTGTGTTAATGTTTGAGGCCTGATATTAACCACCAAAACACCCGTTGCCATCCAATTGGTTCTGACTCATACTGCCCCTATAGGAGAGTAGAACTGCCCCGTAGGGTTTCCAAGGCTGCAATCTTTATAGAAGTAGACTGCCACATCTTTCTCCTGTGGAGCGGCTGGTGGGTTCGAACCACCGACCTCTCAGTTAGCAACCAAGCATTTAACCACTGTGACACCAGGGCTCAACCACCCAAAACCAAAACCAAAACCCTAACCAAACCGACTGCCGTCGAGTCGATTCCGACTCACAGAGACCCTGTAGGACAGAGTAGAACTGCCCCATAGAGTTTCCAAGGCTGTAAGTCTTTACAGAAGCAGACTGCCACATCTTTCTCCTGTGGAGCAGCTGGTGGGTTTGAACCACCGACGTTTTGGTTAGCAACCGAGCGCTTAACTACTGCACCACCAGGGCTCCTTTATATTAACCACCGAGAAGTCAGGTGTTCCAGTCAAAGGGCAGCTGGGTTTCAGAACATCCCTGCCTTCCCTTCCTCTACCTTCACAGCCTGTAGTCTGCCAGGTTGAGCGGCCTGGTATTACACGGTGGTTTCTCTGTGCTCCCAGTAATTGCTCTAGACCTGCGCGGTCTTATCCAGCAGCCACTAGCCTCATGACGCTATTTCCTTTAAAATTTTAATTAGTTAAATTTTAATAAAGTTAAACATTTAGTTCCTCAGTCTCACTAGCCACATTTCAAGTTCTCAGTCTTGTAAAACATTTCCGTCATCGCGGGAGTTTTATCGGACGGATCCGTAGGCCAGAGCACAGCTACTCACCGCACCATCAGCAAGCCGACAGTCGGCCACAGACCGTTTGTATTTTTCTGCAACAAGATTAACACAGAAAACGAAAGTCAGCAGTCAGAAAAGTTTATAGCAGTTTGGCATCTCTTAACAGCCAGTGGTGGTTGCTTTCTTAATGATTCATTTTTAGTGACTCGATCCTGATGGGGAAACCCTGTGGTACAGTGGTTAAGAGCTACAACTGCTAACCAAAAGGTCGGTAGTTCGAATCCACCAGCTGCTCCTTGGAAACTGTATGGGGCAGTCACTATGAGTCGGAATCAACTTGGTGGCAACGGGTTTTGTTTTGTTTTTGATCCTGACGGATTGGCAATTTAGAACAGTCTGGTGCTCCCCACAGATAGTCTGCGAAGCCGTGGTCTTTAGTACCTGACAGTGGACTGCAGCTTCTCCTGCATTGGGTTCCAGGGGTCTCCAGTAGGAAAGAGAGCTTCCGTGTCTGTGTACGAAACGTGGTAACTCCTGGGATCCTCAGAGCACCTTGGGCGTTGGGTAGGTGGGTTGGGGGGACCCCTTGGGAAGCTGGCAGTGTAGTCTCAAGTCAGTGTCAAGGAAGCAGATAGGGCCCTCCAGATGCCGCCTGCCCTGTTCCATGTTTATTATGGGATGTAGGCTGTTAGGATGTGGGAGATGGGGATGGAATGGGGCAGTAGAGAAGACGTTTCTGTGGCTGAAAATTTGAGTCCTAAGATTCCAGGAGCTAGAGTAGTTTTCAGCTTCTGCAAGTTCTCAGCCCCCACCCTCCCCTCTCCAATGCCACCACCTTGGACCCCAAGCACTGCCAACTGCAGGGGCTAGCCCTAAGCCTGATAACCCCATTTTGCCCAGCAATGGCTACCATGAGCCAGCCAGAGACCTCTTCCATGTCTACCCACCCTGTCCCCAGCTTGCCAAGCTCTGCTTCTGAAGGGGACAGGAGACCATAAGTGCAGCCCACCCCCCTTCTCCAGGACTACACAAAACCAAAAATCCCATTCCCATCAAGTCAATTCCGACTCACGGTGACCCTATAGGACAGAGTAGAACTTCCCCATAGGGTTTCCAAGAAGCGCCTGGTGGATTTGAATTGCCAACCTTTTGGTTAGCAGCTGAGCTCTTAACCACGGTGCCACCAGGGCTCCCCAGGACTGCAGCTCCCTTTAACGTGAGGCCACCCTGCTCCTGGGGGCACAGGCTTCCTTCTTTTCCTCCACTTCTGGAGGCCTGGCCACGGGTGGCAGCTTCTGCCTTCTCTCGCCAGTGTGTCTAGCAGCCCTAAGCCCCATCTAGGGGACAGTCCAGTCCCTTGCTTTGCTCAGGCCCCTCCCTGGAATGGTACCCAGCCCTCAGCCAGCATCAGATGGCTTGTGGCCATCCCACCAAAAATGACCGTCATGATTCAAACTGATCAGCTTGGCAGCAGCCTTCATCAGAATCCTCAGGCCAAATTTCCTCCCTGCTCCCGACCCCAAAATGTGTGTGACCCCTGGAAAGAAGAGTTTGTGAGGGATGCCGTGGCAATGTCAGCTTTCCTTCCAGGGACTCCTGTGTCTCGCCCGCTCCTCCCTCTCTCCAGACAGCAGCATTGGTTTCCCTGGAAACCTCCCGAGACCCTTGCTCTGAGTGGCAGGCGGGAGCCTCCTCACAGTGCCAAGCAGACTGGAAATGAGGAGCTGCCACTCAGAGCCAGCCTCACTTCTCTTCCTCCAGTTGGTCCCCATTCGGCGCCTAACGAAGGCTTCCCGCGCAGGGTGATCAGCATATTCGAGGAGAGGACAACAGACGGGGTGACTAGATGTTTTATTGATGTGGCCGAGCACCCTGGCCCATGAGGCCTGTGGATATAAAGATCCTGAGTCTTGTTTATATTTTAGCACTTCTTGTAGCTTGTCTCGTTTAAAATCACCCAACTAAGATTTATTACAGGAGCCCCGGTGGCGCAAAGGTTAATAGCACTCGGCTGCTAACTGAAAGGTCAGCGGTTGAACCCACCAGCCGCTCCGAGGGAGAAAAGACTTGGCAGTCTGCTCCCATAAAGATTACAGCTTAGGAAACCCTAGGCGGCAGTTCTGCTCTGTCGCATGGGGTCGCTATGAGTTGGAATCAACTCGACGGCTCACAGCAATGACAGCAAGCGGCGTTAGGGGGCCCGGCCCGGCACACAGCAGCAACAGCAGCAACGACAGCAAGCGGCGTTAGCGGGCCCGGCACATGTGTTTTGTTTTCTCTCATTCTGATTTTGTTTTATTGGTAGCGCTCAGGTGCAGCAAGCAGAGGTAATGAACTCACCGAGCAAATGTGTAGCGCCCCTACTGTGTGCCAGACACTGTGGGTGCTGGGCCACCAGAAGTCAACAAAGCAGAGGGCTCTGCCTTTGCAGAGTTTTTGTTTTTGGTGTGTGAGAGAGACAATAGATAAGCAAGTAGTATATAAGATTTCGGAGTCATTAGGTGGCTCAAACAGTTAAACACTTGGCTACTAACTGAAAGGGGGGTGGTTTGAACCCATCCAGAGGTGCCTCAGAAGAAAGCCAAAATATTGCTGCCATGAAAACCTGTACTAAATGGCAACTGTTTGTTTTTTTTTTTAAATTTTTTTACTTATTGTACTTTAGATGAAGGTTTACAGAGCAAATTAGTTTCTCAGTAAACAATTAATACACATATTATTTTGTGACATTGGTTGCCAACTCCACGACATGTCAACACTCTCTCCTTCTTGACCTTGGGTTCCCCATTACCAGCTTTCCTGCCCCCTCCTGTCTTCTCATCCTTGCCCCTGGGCTGGTGTGCCCCTTTAGTCTTGTTTTTTTTAATATAAAATGTCCATGGGTGGTAAGGGCCGAGAAGAAGCAGGAAGCATGGAGGGGGAGAGAAGGTGTTACGTGTTGCTATTTTAGATGGGCGGTGTCAGGGCTGACTTTGAGACCATGAGAACAGCTGCTGGCGGGCATTGTGGCCTAAGAACCACTGGTGCAAAGGCCCCAAGGTGGGAGCGTGTTAGCCAGTTTGAGGAACAGCAGGGAAGTCGGTTTGGCTGGAGCAGAGTAAGGTGGGGAGAAATGGTAAGACGAGAAAGGACAGGTTGGCAGGAACGGATCACGTAGGGCCTCGTGGTACACGCTGGATTTTGCTTAGGTGTGATGGGGAGCCAGTGGAAGGTTCTGGGTAGGGGAGTGACATGAAGCTAATTACTCAGAAGCTCTTTGGAAAGGTCTGTGGGATAGCAACAGCAGAGGTGGAAAGGCCAGCTGGGAGAGTCTCAGGCTGAGATGTTGGAGCTGGGACTGGCGTGACAGGGGTAGGGGTGGTGGAAGGGGTCGTATCTGGGAAATGAAACCCAGAAAGCCAAGCAGACAGGGTTAGCTGATGGGCTGGATGGGAAGTGTGAGAGGAAGAGGAACCAATATAGTCTTCTATTCATGGAAACCCTAACCAAAAGGTTGGTGGTTCAAATCCACCAGCCGCTCCTCAGAAACCCTATGGGGCAGTTCTGCTCTGTCCTAGAGGATCGCTAAGAGTTGGAATGGACTCGACAGCAACAGGCTTTTTTTTCTTTTTTGGCGTGGTCCACAAGGTCCACTCGTTGCATTTTTCACAGAATTAAAATTTTTTTTTGCCTAATATACTTCTCTTAATTTTATGTTGACACCTCTCCCTTTTTTAAAATCCTGGTAAATATATACGTAACAGAACATTTGCAGTTTGAACATTCTTCACGTGTATAGTTCAGTGACATTAACTTACGTTCATCATGCTGATCAACCGTCCCCCATATCCATCCCCCAATTTTTCCATCACCCTTAACAGAAGCTCAGTGTCCTCTAAGCATTGAGTTTTCTGTTCTCCCTCCCTCCCATCCACCCCCGTAATCACTGATAAAGTTTGGTCTCTGTGCATTTGCCTATTCTAGATATTTCATGTAAGTGGGATCACAGAGTATTTGTCCTCTGGAGTCTGACTGATTTTGCTCAGTGTAAGAATGCATTTTATTTTATTCATCTTCTTGCCTGCATAGCCCGTTACCATTGTCTGCCCGTTGGTAGCCATTCTAATGCATTTAGTATGTCTCCATACCCATACATTCTTGAAGACTAAACAGTGGTATTTCCTATGCATATATGTTTTAAGCTTATGCAAATGGCATCTTCTGTGTTTTACTTTTTCCATTCCCTGCTGCAGTGTTAACATTTCTGACTGCTCATAATATTCTAGAGCGGACGTCTGCTGAATTTGGCTTAGCCAAAAGCCTGTTGCTGTCAAGTCGATTCCAACTCGTAGCAACCCACCATAGGATAGAGCAGAACTGCCCCATAAGGTTTCCAAGGAGTGGCTGGTAGATTCGAACTGCCGACCTTTTGGTTAGCAGTCATATACTTAACCACTGTGCCACCAGGGCCCCTTCACTTATCCATTCCCCTAGTAATGAACATCGGGGTGCTGCCAGCCCCCAGCTGCCACACACAGCACTGTGGCAGAACACACCCCATTGCTAGGAGTGGGCTTGCAAGCCTGGAGTATGCATAGACTTAATTTCATCAAGTTCTAGGCGGCGACATAGTTTGCACTCGATTGCCAACCTAAAGGTTAGCTGTTTGAGCCCACCCAGCAGTACCACGGAAGACAGGCCTGGCAGTCTGCTTCTGTGACGATTATAGCCAAGAGAAAACCCCGTGGAGCAGTTCTACTCCGTCATACACAGGATCGCCGCGAGTCAGAATTGACTGAATGGCAACCAGCAACAGCAGTCACTTTGCTTTCCAGAAGGGCCGCACCTTTGTGCACAAGGGTTCTGTTCTCCTCATATCCTTGACTAAGTTTGGTGGGTTCTGATTTTCTCATTTTTGCAAATCTGATGGGTGTGTTTCTCTGTGGTTTTAATGAACGTTCCTCTGACTATTAGTACGGTTGTTAGGCACTCATGTCCCCCACGTGAACTGCTGTTTCTGTCCTTTGACTAGTTTTCTATGGTTTCCAGAAAAGTCTTCTCTGGTTGTAGGAATCCATCTTACATTCTAGATCCTCCCAGGCCCGTAAGGTGGCCACTAACCATATGTGGCTATTTAAATTTGGATTAAGTAAAATTAAATAAAATGAAAAAATTCGGTTCCTTGGTTATACTAGCCACATTTCAAGGGCTCCATATTCCCACGTGGCTAGTGGCCGCCATATTGAACAGTGCAGATATAGAACATTCCCTTTTCACAGAAAGGTCTCTTGGATAGTGCTGGTCTAGATGTTAATGTTTGTCTTCTCTCTGTTTATTTTATTTTGTGTGTCCTTTGTTAAACAATTTTGATGTAATCAAATCCATCAATTTCTCCCCTAAAGTTTGTGTGTTTTGGGTTTTGTTGAAGATTTCCCTTATCTCAAGGTTACAGTGGTATTCTGCATTTTCCCCATTAGCTTTTACATTTAGATGTTTAATCCATTTGGAGCTTACCTTTGTGTATAGTGTGAGGCTGGGATTTAACCTGATTTTTCTCCGTACAGAAAGTTAGTTTTGTTGTTTTTTTAAGATTATCTATGTTTTAGTGTTTTTCACTTGATTCAAACAAATAACATCCTCTTTATTAGTCATGGTGTTGGTTTTCTTTAAGATAAAAAGTTATGTTGTAAATGTTCTAATAGGAAAATCCTATTCTGTCCTAGATAAAAGATGCTGCCTATTTCTACAAGCGAAGCCAGTGCTATAAAGATGCTTTCAGATGCTTTGAACAGATTCAGGAGTTTGATCTAGCACTCAAAATATATTGCCAAGAGGAACTTTTTGAAGAAGCTGCTATTGCAGTGGAAAAGTAGGTGGTTTTATTCTCTCCCTCCCTCCCTCTCGGGTCCTCCTACTACCTCTCATGGGGCCAGCTTGCCCTGGGTGGTGTTATCATGCTGCTTCTGAGGTGGAGGACCATGTCCTCTCTGTCTACTTGAGTGGTAGTCTCCATGCTGGGCCAAGAGCTCCTCAAGAGCAGGACTCTTGTGTTTTCACTCCCTTTATAAACTCTGTAAAGTGTTAAAAAGCAAAGATGTCACCTTGAAGACTAAGGTGTGCTTGACCCAAGCCCTGGTATTTTCAGTCTCCTCATATGCATGCAAAAGCTGGACAATGAATAAGGAAGACCGAAGAAGAATTGATGCCTTTGAATGATGGTGTTGGCAAAGAATATTGAATATACCCTGGACTGCCAGAAGAACGAGCAAATCTGTCCCGGAAGAAGTAGAGCCAGAATGCTCCTTGGAAGCAAAAATGGCAAGACTTCATCTCATGTACTTTGGGCATGTTATCAGGAGGGACCAGTCCCTGGAGAAGGGCATCATGCTTGGTAAAGTAGAGGGTCAGCAAGAAAGAGGAAGACCTTCAGCGAGGTGGATGGACACAGTGGCTGCAGCAACGGGTTTAAGGATAATGATTGTGAGGATGACACAGGACTGGGCAGTGTTTCGTTGTGTTGTACACAGGATCTGCTGTGAGTCAGAACTGACTTAATGGCACCTACCAACAACGACAACAATAAACTTTGACACAGTATCACGTGCAGAGGGGACTGAAGAAGGTGAAAGGTGTGTCGTGAGTGTGTAAATAACATACACAGCAGTCCTGATGTTTTGTGCCTGATGACGGCTCTGTCCTCTTAGCCTTTACTTGCTCAGTTGACAGTTTTGCTGATGTATGGATGGATAAAAGTAAGTGCACTAGCGGGCAGTCAGGATTTCGCTTTATCATCATCTTCTGGGAGGTCCCCAGCTGTGTACTTCTACTTAGAGTATAATATGGATGTGCATATACCCACAGTTGTAGGACGCAGAAGTCTCATACATGACCCCGTGGGTGTGTGACAGGCATCAGGAAGGCTTCCTGGACCTTAAACTTCAGCTGACATTCCGGTGGTGAAGTGGAAGATGGGTGGAGTTCAGAGTTGACAAGGAATCTAGAAACAACATGTGTTCCCTATCCTGGATGAGAGCCTCCTGGTGGTATGATAGAGCCGGAATGTGGGAGATTCTGCATTTCTGCTCAGCAGGGGTTTGAGTCAGCTCTCTGGTCCTGGAAGAGTGGGCCCTGGGTTGGTTCTGTATTGTCTTTGCTTTCTACCAAATTATATACATCGACAAAAGAAACACAATTGACCCAGATTTTGAAACTCTGAATCTTTATTTTTAAGTTAACTTTTATGGCAGCATAACATATGTTTAGAAAAGTGCACATACGTTTCACAAAGTAAACACATTTGTGTAACCAGCACCCAGGTAAATTGGGTTTTTAGTTTTAGACATGGAAAAGTAGGTGTCCAGCGCTGCGGTGGGTAATTGAGCATATTCCTTTATCAAGGTCCTTGGTGCCATTATGGAGCCCTGGTGGCGCAGTGGCTAAGAGCTCAGCTGCTAACTGAAAGGTCAGCTGTTCGAATCCACCAGCCACTCCTTAGAAACCCTATGGGGCCATTCTACTCTGCTCTATAGGGTCGCTATGAGTCCGAAACAAGTCAATGGCAATGGGTTTGGTTTGGTGCCATTCAAGGTATGATAGACACACTGAGTGCCAGCTTTATAATTTATAATCTATGGTAAGTGAGTGGCATTTATTGGGTATCAGATTAAATGGGTAACCAATAAATCTGCATAAGCCATTATGGATATAATATACACAGTGGGTGTGATTCTGTGGCGTTACGAGTAACTGAACAGACTAATTACCTTGTGAGTTCAGATGGCAAAACAAATGAGGGAGGTTTCAGTGGTATGTTGGTTTGAGCCCTAAGTGTGGTCTGACTATTAGCTGCAGCTTCACATAAGATTTCTCTGAGTGCCCTTTGAACGCTGTGTATACTGAACGTAGAATTCATTTGCTAACTGGCCTGACCGCAGATACATTAAGGATATTTTAAATTTGAAAGAAAAAAACCAACCCTACACATCTGGAATCAAATTTTTCCACCCATTGGAGATGAAGGACACTTGTTGGGGTTATTTCTCCTCCAAGTAGCTTTTCCCAGCTCTTAAATTAGAAAGAGAATCCCTGGATAGTTTTCTTAAATTTGGGAAAAATACTCTATTATATCAGCCAGTACTCGCATGAGTATACTCCCTTCTTTCATCTTTATTTACACACCTTCATGGAAGCCTGTTGCACTAGGAAATATGGTGTTTTTAGGATAAGCCCGAGGCAGAATAAGATCCTTGGGCACTTCTGTCACGAGGAAACAGATTTTGTTAAGTGAGAGTTCAAGAGTAATCATGTTTTATTGGGTTGTTCCAATGCCTTGAAACTTGGCGGTGTGTGGGTATATATTGACTGATAAGCAGAGTAAAGGGGGCCCTTCAGAGCTTCATGAATCTTATGCTAATTCAACCACATGCACACCTGGCAAAAGAGGACAATCACAAGTGGGATAGGAAGAGAAAGACTAATGTGATTGCTCGTGTCTCCAGCCCCCGTTAGTCACATACTGAACTGAATGTGATCGTACACCTGAAATGATTATTAGGCTTTTACGGGAGGTTGAAAGGGTACCTGGGTGGTGTTGGAGCCCTGGTGGCACAATGGTTAAGTGTTTGGCTGCTCACCAAAGGGTCGGCAGTTCAAATCCACCAGCCGCTCCTTGGAAACGCTACGGGGCAGGTCTACACTGTCCTGTAGGGTCGCTGTGAGTTGGAATTGACTCGATGGCACTGGATTTTTTAGGTGGTGGTAGTGGTTTGCACTCGTCTACTAACCTAAAAGTTCTCAGTTGGAACCCACCCAGAGGCAGCTCGGAAGATAGGCCTGGCTATCTGCTTCTGAAAAGTCGCAGCCTTGAAAACTCTGTGGAGTGTGGTTCTGCTCTGCAGGCAAGCAGAGTCAGAGTCCAGCTGCACATCCCGTGGGTCAGAACTGACACAGTGGCCACGGGTTTGTGGTTTTGGTTTTAGGGGAGTTTAAGAAGTATTTTTTCAAGGACAGTTGGACTGTGCATAATTTTTGCCCCTCAGATTGACTTTTAAACTCCCATTTACTTGAGTTGCAACTCCGTTATACTTTGTTAATTAAACACACTAATGACTGGCCCCTTTGAAGAATAAAGTTTTTTTTTTTTTTAGTGTGAAATGAAACATAAAAATGCTCGATCAGTGTAGGTCCCTATTCTGTAATTTTATTTAAGTTTTCCTGCTCTGTAGATTGGAGGAAAATTTCTGTTGGTTAGGTGACAGTAAGTTGACATTTGCATTATCTGTCTTTGCAGGTATGAAGAGATGCTAAAGGCCAAGGCCCTCCCCGTTTCCAAGCTGTCCTATTCTGCTAGTCAGTTTTACTTGGAAGCTGCAGCAAAGTGCCTGAGTGCAAATAAGATCAAGGAAATGATGACCCTCCTCTCCAAGCTGGACATAGAAGACCAGCTGGTGTTCCTGAAGTCTCGGAAATGCCTAGCAGAAGCCGCAGACCTGCTGAACAGAGAAGGTCGGAGAGAGGAGGCCGCCCTGCTGATGAAGCAACACGGCCACCTCCTGGAAGCTGCCAGGCTCACCGCCAACAAGGACTTCCAGGCCTCGTGCCTGCTGGAGGTGGCCCGCCTCAACGTGGCCAGGGATTCGGACGTAGAAAATACCAAGGCCATTCTGCAAGAAGCCTTCGAGCTCTGCTGTCAAACCAACCAGTTGTCCGGCATTGCCGAGGCCCAGTTCCTGCAGGGGGTAATCCTGAGAGACTTCCGGAAGCTCCAAGATGCCTTCTTCAAGTTTGACAGGCTCAACCACTCGGCCGGTGCGGTGGAAGCCCTGTACGCAGCAGCCAGCTGCTGTGAGGCTGGGCCTGAGATGGTCCTGACCCTGGCCCCGGGGGGCTTGGAAGTCCTCCTCAATCTGGTCAAGGCTCTCAAAAGAGAGACTAACAATGCTGAGAAGGAAATGGTCAAGTCTTGCTTTGAGTTTTTTGGGATTTCCCAGGTGGATGCCAGATATTGCCAGATAGCTCAGAACAACCCTGGACCCATATTAAGAATCGTGTTTGACCTGGATTCAAACTTGAGAGACAAGAAAACAAAAGACCACTTCTTGATAATGACTGACCAGGTGAAGTTAGCATTAAACAAGCACCTTTTGAGCAGGCTGTGTCAGATTGCACAGAGCCTGCTCAGGAAGACCTTCCCAGGGGTCTGCAGGAGGTTTATAGTAGGCTTAAAGTGTGAGGACGAGAACTGTGAAGACTTCCACAGGCCCTTGAGGCGTTGTGAGGCCAGGTGTTTGGTTCAGTCAAAAATACATCTGGTGGCAATCAACGGATTGCTTTTGGAAGCCAAGAAAGTATTCCCTAAAACCTTAGCTAAAGAACTTGAAGAAATTAATTGTGTTTTGTCTACAGATATGTATGGCCTTTGCAAATCCTTTCTGAATGTGATCTTCCCCAAGCATTTCCATCAGAGAGTGTTATCAGAAAACCCCACAGTGTGCAAAGAAATCCTCAAACCAAGATCCAAATCATTCCGATCCTACAGGTTCGCTTTGAAAGAGTACATCCACTTTCTGTTTGAAAATGCAAGTGCACAGAACCGACGGGAGTCTACAGACCTGTGGCTGATTGCCATGCAGGCTTTCTTGGCTTCCTCCAACTACCCGGAGGAGTTTGAAAAGCTGCTCCGCCAGGAGGAGGACAACTACCACAGGGAACTCAAGGCTCTTGAAAAAGAGGACAGGGCCAGAGGCAGAGGCCGAGGCAGCAGAGTGAAACGAGTAGAAGGGAAATTTGGCATGCTGACACCCAACAAGGGTGAGGCAAGTACAGAGAAGACCCACCTGTGCTTCATCCGGCTGCTGGAGAGTTGCGTCGATCAGTTCTACATGTACAGGAACCCTGAAAACTACAAAAGGCTCTTTTTCCGTTTCATGAATGTCCTTGTCAAGAGATGCAAAGAACCACTCATTCCCAGCATTGCAAACACGGTGGCCCTGTTGGAGCTCCAGTATATCCACTGTGGAGCGGTTCTGGCCCGCCTCTGCAAGAACACCATCCTGTGCCTCCCCAAGAGCTACATCTCACTCTTGCACTACTGGGAGTTCCTGTGCAGCAAGAAGGACAAGGAGCCCGTGGACGTGTTCGCCATCATTCAGGAATTCAAACCCAAGGATGTGACAAGAGCCATTCAGCATTTCCGGTTCCACCTCTCCTACCTCGCCGAGGTGCTGTGCGGTCATGAGAACGTGAACTTCAATGTCCTGCTCGATGCCTTCGATGACATAGACTGTGTGGTCTCCGGTGAGGCGGAGCGGACGCTGGTGCTGTGCTTGGTGATGCTCGTGAACGCCAAGGGCATTCTGAAGCCGCACTGCAAGCGTCTTCTGTGCAGCCACTTCCAGGAGATCGAGAAGCAGCTGCAGCGGATGAGCGAGAACTTCCCGGCCTGCGTTCCCGAAAGGCTCCTCAGAGTGGTGAGGCGGGTGTTGGTGGCGGTCGACGTGAAGTCAGTGGCCGAGGCGCTGCAGGACTTGCTGTCTGACCGGGATAAAGAGTACCTGGTGGACTGCCGTTGGTGTTGGGACAGCGTGCACGCCAAAGGCTCGGTGGTCCGCGGCCTTTATCACGAGGAGGTCAAGCTAAACCGCTTGCTCTGCGTGGGCTCTCTGGACGGCGCTGCTGAACCAGACAGCGAGTTTGATCAGGACGAGACAGGGGAGCCGGCGTCGGAAGACCGAGACCACCTCCTCACTGCCATCCTTTCCCAGAGGCAGCGGAAGGCGTCCAGCCGGCGCAAGCTGAGAAGGGTGTGCCTGCTGGTGTCTCTGTGCATCAGCTGGAGGAGATGGGCAAGTGCCCAGGCAGAACGTGGCAAGGAGGAGGCCAGGGAGCCCAGCGCTGGGAACTTCAAAAAGGCCGACGTTGACAGGACCCAGTGCGACCTCTGTGGAGTCAAGTTCATCCGTGGTCCTGAGAACGATTTCAGCCCAAGGGAGGTGCTTGAGGAGGTGACTTTCGAGGCTGCAGCCCTTTCCGGGGCTGAGCCAGAGAGGAAAGAGGACCTGGAGAGGAACAGCGAGTCTTACGAGCAGCACATCTGCCTAGAAGGCCACCAGAGACAGCAAGCGGCCTACCAGAAATACTCTGCATTTTTCCGTGAGCAGGTGGACCCGGCCGTCGACGAAGGCAAGCTGGTGGTGCAGGACATGGAGCAGAGTGTGTGGATCGGCAGCCGCCTGGGCTGGAAAGAGCACAGCCACGTGCTGCAGAGGAAGGTCCAGGAGAACATCAAGAAGGTTCTGGATACGGTGGAGGAGGTGTACAGGCGGAAGGCCTGGGATAGCGGTAAGGGGCCCCGGAATGGGCCCAAATGCAGTTAGAAGCCGTTCAGAAGTTTGGGGTTGGAGAGCACAAGGAGAGACTGAGTCACCACTTAGGGATGATGTCTGACCCGTGGAGGTTGCAGTCTTGGCCTTAGCAGAAATACAAATAAGGAAGTGTGTTCTCAAACTACAGCAAAACCTCAGGGTTGGGACCATTCCTCCCCCTAGTTAAGAATTTGTCTTGGGCTGGGCTGGTTGTCTCTGACACTATCGGTGAGGAAAGAACAATGTTTAAGGTCTTGAGGTTTTTATTTTATTGTGCTAAAGTACATATAACAAGACATTTGCCACTTGAACCATTTTTAAGTGTACAGTTCAGTGACATTAGTTACCTTCACCATATTGTGAAGGCTCTCTTGGTTCATTTGTGAGCATTTCTTGAGCACCTGCTACGTGCTGAACCCTTGACCAGGCTATGCTGACGTGTAGCTGGATTCTTCCTTTTAGGAGGGTCAGTGTCCTTAACTGAAAAGTTGGCAGTTGGAACCCACCAGTGGCTCCACTGGAGAAGAAGACCTGGTGATGTGCTCCCGTAAAGATCACTAAATCAAAAACCAAAACCATTGCCACTGAGTTGACTCATAGCAACCCTATGGGACAGAGTAGAACTGCTCCATAGGGTTTCCAAGGAGCATCTGGTGGATTCGAACTGCCGACCTTTTGGTTAGCAGCCATAGCTCGCTGTAGCTCTCAACCACTGTGCCACTTACAGCCTAGCAAATCCTATGGGGCATTTCTCCTCTGTCCTATAGAGTTGCTATGAGTTGGAGTCGACTTGACGGCACACAACAACACCCTTAAGCCATACCCCGTCTGAGCCGTGAACAATAAACAAGTCTTCTGTGGTATCTGAGTGAGATTTCCCCTAGCTTCCTTAGCAACACTGAGTGGAAGTTATGTGTACAGTCAGTGAAATAGCATGTTTTAAAACACGTTCTATAATTCAGACACCCTCTTCAGCTAAGGTTTAGTGACCCTTTGAACACACGCTTCCTTGAATGGCTTGCTACTGGTGGTCTCTTCAGACACACTTAACGGTAATGGCGTCAGGCTAGCGTTTTGACTGTAGCTCACTGATTGCTCTTCCTTGTTGCTTGTGGTGGGAGAGGCAGCTTTGGGTCCTTACCCCACAGTTCTCCCCCGGAGAAGCACACACACAGACCAGCTCTTGGAGGGTGGGGGCTTTGGCCCATACTTGGTATGCCGGTCCCTGAAGTGGCCTCTTTACTCAGAGCCCTTGTTGTTTGGCTTTTTTTAGGGCAGGAGGTGATGACTCCGCTGGTCAACATCCTGATCCTGTCGGTCAGGGACGCGCAGGAATGGCTGAGGAGAACCGAGCTCTCCTTAAAGGAGAGAGGTAAGCAGTCCTTTATCCTGGGAACGGGTAATGCTTTGGGTCTCACGGTTCTAGATACTGCTGGCCCCCAGGTGAATCTGAAGTGGGCTGCCCAGTGATGTCAGTAGTAGCCCCTCACTGTCTAGGAACATAAACAAATAATTTCATTTATAAGGATCAGCACACAGCTGGTTCCTATGAGGCGGAGGTTACAGATATCCCAGATGTCTAACTTTCCCAGGCTGCTGTCCCACTCCATCCTCTCTAACATCACTACTCCCTCTCCCCTCAGCACTCTCCCACCTGGCTTTGGGTTCCCTAATTCCCTGCAACGTCTCACAGAACTCACAAACCATGTAAAGGAAATGGCTCACGCGGTTGTGGAAGCTGGCAAGTCCCAAATTCATGGGTCAGGCGTAGACTTCTCCCTGGCCCTCAGTCTCTGCCCAAAGGCACTCAGCTTTCTTGCTCCACGGGCCAGGAAGCCCACTGTGCCGTCTCCTGCGGGTCTCTCCTTCCTTGGTGGTGGGGGGCTCTCCTCTCTGCTCTGGAATTGGCTCTTTTAAGGCAAAACTGACCAATCCCCTTGGTAGGCCACAGTTACCCTATCACACAGTCACCTGGGTGGGAGTTACAAGACCACGGCTCGAAAGGCCACACACAAAAGTAATTAATCCACCACAGAGCATCACCCTCGGTGAGTCAAGTTATTAGCAACAGTGGAGCAACCATCTGTACTGTGAGGGCAGTTATTCTGGGCTCTTGTTAGGTACTGAAACCCTTTTAGCCACTCATGAGCTATTATTGGATGATGTTCAGTCACTGCTTACACTGAACACAAAGCCGTCCCTTGAAAAGTGTGTTTGCCTGTCAGTGTGAGGGCCATGGACAATGCAAGACAGATCCTGCCCACAAAGGACTCTGGGAGAGAACCAGAGTAGCTTACCGAGCAAGAGACCTGGGCCAGGAAAAGAGCACATCAAACACCTGACTTTCTGGTAACGTCAGCTGGAACCCATTAACTAGTGCAAAAAAAAAAAAAAACAAAAAAAAACAAAAAACAAAAACAATCCCATCCATCATCAATTAGACGTGTTTTGTCCTGGTCCCCCATGTGGATCCTTGCACATAAGCCCCGGGTATATAAACTCACACTCCACACCAGCCTGAGCGGACCTCTACCTGGGTGACTCAGCGCGTACCTGTCCATTGCGGGAATCTTGGTGCCGACCTCTGGCTGTGAGTTCCCTGATAAAACCTAGATCTGATCAACCTGGCTTTCTCCACCTCTTTTTTCAGAATCCTACCTGTGCCCCTCGAAGCCACTCCTGCTGCTGGTCTGGTGGGGTACACTCAGTCATTTACATCAGTAAATATTTATTGAGTGTTCGGCACAGGTCTGGGCCTGGGATACACCTGTGAAAAAACAAACGATCTTTGTGGAAACTTGGGTGCATCCTCCTACAGACGGTTGAAGGCTTGTGTGTATGAGTCAGATTTCTTTCCTAAACACGGATGCCAGTAGGAAAAGTTTAGTCAGTAGGTGGGAATCAGAAGAGGCCTGGGCAGAAAGGCAAGTCTGGCAAGTGAGTGGTTAAAATATCTGTGACCGAGTGTGTGTGTGTATAGCGGGGTGGGAGGGACTCCTGAGATACATGGAGAGTGGGAATTTGGAAATCAAGAGGCCAGAGCATAGTATTGCAAGCAGGGATGGTGGTGTCAGGAGGCCAAAGAGAGAATTTGGAAGCTATAGGCTTAGAAATCAGATAGTCTGGGTAGAGGGTCCCTGGAATTCTGGTCGTCAGGAGGAAGCAAAGGAAGTGTCAGTAGGCAGAAAGGGACCAAAGTAGGTATGACGAGGTCCCAGGAAGGTGGGAAGGAACAATGCCTAAGGCATTCAAGGATTTGAGAAGAGAAAGTGAGGGGCAGTGGACAGAAGACAATGGACCTGGCGCTAGGACAACGGGGTCTGTCTCACTTCTGATCTCTTTTTAGTTTGACTACGGTGACTGGGCAGCTGGGCCCTCAGTGCTAGAGGGAGAAGACAGAGGGAAGACTGCATTGTTGTTGTTAGGTGCCATCAAGTCGGTTCCAACTCATAGCGACCCTACATACAACAGAACACAACACTGCCCGGTCCTGAGCCATCCTTGCAATCGTAGTTATGCTTGAGCCCATTGTTGCAGCCACCATGTCAATCTGTCTCATTGAGGGTCTTCTTCTTTCTCGCTGACCCTCTACTCTACCAAGCATAATGTCCTTCTCCAGGGGCTGGTCCCTCCTGATAAAATGTCCACAGTATGTGAGACGAAGTCTTGCCATCCTCGCTTCTAAGGAGCATTCTGGCTGTACTTCTTCCAAGATAGATTTGTTCGTTCTTCTGCCAGTCCATGGTATATCCGGTATCCTTCACCAACGCCATAATTCAAAGGCATCAATTCTTAGATCTTCCTTATTCATTGCCCCGCTTTCACATGCATATAAGGCAGTTGAAAATACCATGGCTTGGATCAGGCGCACCTAAAGTGACACCTTTGCTTTTTAACACTTCAGACAGGTCTTTTGCAGCGGACTGTATTAGACAAGGAAAACTGGTATTCTCCATCTCTTCTAAACTTCTGGGGTCCCTCGTTATGGCTGAATAACATTCTGTCACACGTCTATATTACATTTTGTTTATCCATTCGTATGTTAACGGACACCTGGGTTGTTTTCAGCTTCTGGCTATTGTGAATAATGCTGCCATGAACGTTAGTGCGTACGTACCTGTTTGAGTCTCTGCTTTTGAGTCTTTTGGGTCTTCTCTTAGGAGTGAAATGGCTCACGGGGCTGCATTCCTTCACCAGCCTCAGACGGCCCTCTGTGAGTCCTCATGATCTGCATGCTACTGGAATCCAGACCGCAGAGCTGGGGAAAACGTGAAGGGCCTTGGCACAAATGTCTGTCAGGGTTAAAAAAAAAAAAAGACAAACTTTAGAGTATAGCTTCCGCTGGGGACTATGGTTTTGTGAGTGTTTTGAGAGAAAGATAATTGGTGTACCTAGTCTGTCTGTGGTTGAGTTGAGGTTTTGTTTGATTTCTTTGTCATTTAAAGGGACTTGGAGCCCTGGTGACGCAGTGGTTAAGAGCTCAGCTGCTAACCAGAAGGTCAGCAGTTCAAATCCACCAGCCGCTCTTTGGAAACCCTATGGAGCAGTTCTACTCTGTCCTGTAGGGTCACTGTGAGTCAGAATCGACTCAGTGGCAATGGGTTTGGTTTTGGGGTTAAACTAAAGCCAGAGGAACCAGCCTGTAAGAGAATTTAATTCCAGAGAATTGTGTTTACTTTAAGTCTTCTGGGAAGCAGTATCAATATTCATAGAAAACCCTTTCTTCGCATCTTTAATTTAAAGCAATGATTACAGAGACGTTAGGTTTTACTAGGATGTTACAGTTTACAGTGGAGTGAAAACAAAATCACTCTGTCTTTTTTGTGTGTGTGTACGTGTGTGTGTTTTTAATAGGCATCGTTCAGGAGGATGAATATGAAAATGAAGTTGAAGACTTTGATGAGCTGTGTCCTATAAAGCCTTCACGGAAACGTGGAAAGCAGAGAAAATAGTAACGACCACACAGCTATTGCCTCATAACACCTTCAGAACATTCCATCCTGACTTAGAATTCTGAGCGCTGGGGCAGAAGGAGAAGGAACGTAAATAAGCCTTAAAAAAAAAAGAAAAAAGAAAAAGTAGGGAGGGCTAAGAACGTCATTGCTTTTTGGTCTTGTTTCTCCTTTAATGGTAGCTTAGGGTATGGTTGCTCCTTCATCCGCAGGGACCACGCAAGTGCTCTCCAAGGTCAAGTCTAGTGGTATTAGCCTCCCCGCCCCAAACACCTTCAAGTTAGAGGAGCTGTAGTTGGAGGGAATGTTGGGACTCCTCACCCCAAACCCCCAGGTCCTCTGGCTTGTTGCCATCATGACACACGAGTCTATAATAGGAGACATGGGTGTTTAAGGCACATACCCCTCATCTCAAAGGAGCCCTGCTGGTGCAGCAGTTAAGTGCTCGGCTGCTAACTGAAATGTTGGTGGTTCGAACCCACCCAGCGGCTCCACCGGAGAAAGACCTGGGGATCTGCTTCTATAAATGCGACACCCTAGGAAACCCAGTGGGGGCAGTTCTACTCTGTCACATGGGGTCTCTGTGAGTTGAAAATCGACTAGAAAGCTCCTAACAACAACACCCCTCATCTCAGAGTTGCCGCCTTTCTGGGCTGGGAAGTCTCCCCGCGGATTCCCTTACCTCCTGTCACACTGCTGCACCGAGAGCTGCGTGGGCCAGGACCCATGATGGCCCTGCACCGGCCACCCCGACCCCAGGCCAGGCCACACTCTGGTCATCTCTGCACCCACTTGTACCCTAGTTCCTCCTGTCATATATGTTAGCCTTCTCTCTCCGTGGGAACTCTTTTGCCCCTGCCCCCCATTTTTTGTGATCATTCTCAGCTGTCCAAGTCACAGTTACACTACCTCAGAATGTAGTCAAGAACTTACCGAGAGTTCTTTGAGTGGCTGGTCTCCGTCTGCTTCCCCTAGAGGGAAAGCCTGGGCAATGTGGTCTGGCGGTCCCTGGCCTGCCTCTCCCAGGTGCTTGGAACTCTGCCTTGGCCATGGTGCAGACATTCCAAATGCTGTTGCGTGTGCAGCCCTGTTGGCCTAGCTTTCTCGGTTCTCCCGGGGAAGTTTGCCGTCCTAGCTTAGGTTGACGCTGTGAAGAATCTCCGCCGGCTGAGTTCACCTTGGTGAAACAGAAGCTGAAGAGCTTCAGGTCAGGAACCAGCGGGCAGGGAGGAAGCCAGCCTTCCAGTACCAGTCCATAGGGTCTGGCTGTGAATCACTGCCACTTGGCTGGTAGGCCTGTGAGAGGAGAAGGAGGGAGGGGTGGCGCCTGTTCCGTAGGAGGCCTCTGCTCCTGACGCCCCAGGCCAGCAGCCCTCAGTATGGCCCCTGTGGGAAGCCTTCAGGCCTCCCTCATGGTTCCTGCCCACCCTGGACCCCTACCCTGCAGCTCAGCCTGGTGCAGAAGGTCAGGTTCACCTTGGTCCTTAATTGTTTCGTCCTTACAACAGAACCAGCTTTTGCTGCTCCTGGTTTTCTCGCCATTGTATTTCAGAATGACTCTGTTTTCTTGAAATGTTTATGCTTCTAATTTTTAGGTTGTGTTCCTACTTTTTATTCCAGGTGTTTTTTAGAAACTTTACTTGCCAGAAAAACAAAAACAAAAACAAAAACAAAAAAACAATCAAATCCTGTTGTGTTAATCACATTTTTATAAAGTTAGATCATTTCTCTTACCTGCTGCTGTCTGCGGGTTTATTTCTAATCTCTGCTCAGAGAGAAAAGGATAAATCTTTGAGCTGATTCTTTCTGGTCCTGGTGTTGATGCTGACCAGGGCAGGAAGCTTGCTATCTCTCCTGAAATTAAGAAATCCAGGGACAGAGATGTAAATGTCAGCCCAGGGACTCACAGCTGGTTGGGGTGTCTCTTGAGGGCCTGCCCCATGAAATTTCTTTCCAGTTTGATGCTCCAGGGAGCTTTGTGAGTGCTGCCTGCTGGGACTGTCTATGAACAGGAACATTGTCCCAGGAGGCAGGAGACCTGGAATCGAATCCTTGTCCTGCCCTAATGAGCCGTGTTACCTGGGGCACATCAGGTCCGCTCAACACCTACCGAGTGCCCAAATGCGGCACCACCCTCAGGGGACACATGATCTGGTGTGGGAGAGAGATGGAGACGTGGAAAAGCAGCAGGGATAGAAATGTGTGTCTTATGCTGTGGGAGTAGCGTTTCTATAAACCAGCTGAGCCTGGCCTTCCCCTTTGGGGAGACTGAGGGAAGGTCAGTGGTCTAAGACCCCTACCGGCATTTCTTCTTTCTTGGGGCCCATCGCTTCTGTCCAGTATCAGTGTGTAGAGGGGGTCCGCCCTTGGGCATTTGGGGAGCTCACCCCTCATCCTCTCACCTGTCTGTGACGCCTCCCTGTGGGAAGGTGGAATTCCTGGCAAGGAGACTTCCATGTGCTGTACTGTGGCCTGGGGCAAGCTGGCCTCTGACTTCTGGGGACAGGCAGAGCATCTGCTCAGAGTCGTTCACAGCACAGCACTGATCGCGAAATTGAGATGGCCTTTACTCGGTCCTGGAGCCCTGGTGGTGCAGTGCTTAAGGGCTTGGCTGCTAACTGGAAGGTTGGCAGTTCAAATCTACCAGCCGCTCCTTGAAAAGGAGAAGGACAATGCAGGGAGGACAACAGATTCATCACTGAATAAAGAATTGAAAGATACGGAAGGGAGGTGCAAAGGTGGCTACTATCAATTCCTTCCCATCCCAGTGTGTGTGTGTCAGGCTATGGAAGGGAGGTGCCAAAGATGGCTACTATCAATTCCTTCCCATCCGTGTGTGTGTGTGTGTGTGTGTGTGTGTGTGTGTGTGTGTGTGTGTGTCAGGCTATGGAAGGGAGGTGCCAAAGATGGCTACTATCAAGTCCTTCCCATCCATGTGTGTGTGTGTGTGTGTGTGTGTGTGTGTGTGTGTGTGTCAGCCTATAGAAAGGGAGATGCCAAAGGTGGCTACTATCAGTTCCTTCCCATCCCAGTATGTGTGTGTGTGTGTCACTCTGCTCACCGAGAGGTGGAGTCTGTTTTCCTTCCTCTATGAGTTACTTTGACCACTAGAGTGTGGCAGAAGCGATAGTGAGTCCTTTCGAGGCCTGTCAGCTGCTGCTTCTCATTAGTGTAATCAGCGGCCATGTAAGAGTTCAGTTACCCTGAAGACCCTCATGCTGTCAAGAAGCTGAAGCTAGCCACATGGAGTGGCCACGTGAAGAAGCACCAAGGCACCTTTGACGTGGGCGAAGTCTTTTTGGGTGTCTTGGCCCAACTGCCAGCTGAGTGCCGCTGGGTAAATGACCGCAGCCAAGGCCATGTGAAGCAGAAGAACCACCAGCTGAGACCTGCCCAAATTTCTGACCCACAGAATCATTAGTGTTAATAAATCATTATTGTTTTAACTACCAGGTGTTGGGGTGATTTGATACTCAGCAATAGATGACTATGACAACGGCCTACTATGCTTGCTTCATCCACGATCTCTAAATCCCAACTCTCCAAAGTGTAGTGTGATGATGACTATTTTGTAGATGTGCAAAGTTAGGGGTTTGCCTGAGGTCAGCGAGCAGGTTGGTGCAGAGCAGAGCTCCCTGTCAGAGCCTTTGCTATTACACTGTCTGCAGTTGTGTGGACGGGGGCTTCTCCAACCGCCTCCCTGGCCTGGTGTCTGAAGAGGTCGTAGTGCCCATCCCTGGAACCCAGCATTTGTCACCTTAGCCACCTCCTCTCTGGACCCTGGCAACTAGTTGGCTGTGTGAGGCTTCACCAGTGGCTGAGACTTGGTTCCAGGGAAACCTGCAGAATTGCGTCCCTCAGACCAACGTTATCGGGTTCTCCCCACTCAGCTCCTGGGTTCTGGTTCCCTTGGGCCACTGGCAAACAACAACACTGGATGCCATTTAGAAGGGAAGGCCTGCCCCTAACATTTGTGGGTTTCGGGTAAGAATACAAATGAAGATCTATTCCCCCTCCCCATTGTCTTCCTACCCTTTGCTTCATCCTACACCACAGAGGGCCTCCTTGGCATGCATGTGGACATTCAGTGCATGTACTCAAGCTTACCCCACATCTGCAGACCCCATCCCCCGATGGCTCCCTTGCCCACCCTGGAACCAGCGCATCAGAGGGGAACAAGCTCAGGGCTATCTGGGCAGGCGTCTCCTGGGTCCTGGAGTGTGATCTAGAGTGGTCTGCGGATATGCACTCTTTTTGCACGTTTAGGACACAAAACTTACCCGATAGCACAGCATTGCACCGCTTTTCTTGATCATTTCTCCTCATGCATCTGTCTCCTGCAGGGTCCTTGCAGGACAGGCATCTGACATTCATAGATTCTCCAGCTGTGATACCATCATAATATTATTAACACACACAGAATAGATTCTTCCTGGCTTCTCCAGCAGGCTGATGTAAGGCTGGAATGCTTTGAACGTGTTCCTGGATCAACACTGTGGAGTAACTGGAAATCTACGTCCTTGGGTTACTCCTGAGTTCATGATCCAGAGGCTGAATCAATGCAGTGGGTAATCACTCAACATTCTGTTACCAATATCTTTCCTAGGCAGTGAGATTGGCTTTACCTGATCTTGTTACTATAAATCAGCTTCAGAGATTCTGACTATAGAACAAAAGGCAGGGCAGGTGGCAAGAGGAATAATCTCCCCAATCAGCAGTCCCTATAACAGCTGTAGAGGTTGAGAGCTCAGTGGACGCCTCTCTGTTTAACCTGATAGACTTTTATTCCCATTGCAATGGAGAAACCAGGTCTGCCAACAACATTCTACAGTCGATGCTCACTCCCACCTGCCAACTAGGAAATGTGTTTCCTACTCACTAAGGAGCTACTTCCCTGGTGGCACAGTGGTTAAGAGCTTGGCTGCTAACCAAAAGGTTGGCAGTTCAAATCCACCAGCTGCCCCTTGGAAACGCTGTGGGGCGGTTCTACTCTGTCCTATGAGGTCACTGTGAGTTGGAATCAGGTTTGTTTTTTTTGGTACCCACTAAGGAGGAGAGAAAGTCATCAGCAAGGTACCAAGCATTCTTGAGGTGAGTTGTTGTTTAGAAAACTATCTCCTGGTGCTGCAGAATTCTAACTCATATTCAAATTTTAAGTTCTCTGCTCAAGACACACATGTGCCTTACCCTTTGCAATGCTGATGTGAACCTGAACATCTGATCAGACATTTTGGGGGGATGGTTGCAATAGAGAAACAGGGTATCATGGTGAAAAGACCTAAGATTAAAATGAAGAAAACCAAAGACAGGGAAAGACGAGTCCACAGGACTAATGGGCCGCAACCACCACGGCCTCCACCAGACCGAGCCCAGCACTGGATGGTGCACGGCTACCACCGCCGACCGCTCTG